CCACTTCAGAACAATGAGAACCCAAATGCCATGAACAAAAATCTAATACTAACACTAATCAACAACTAAATCTAACATTAATCAATTGAAAGGAATAATAGATTAAGCACTAAAGACAAAAACTCACGAGGACTTAGCATGATAGAGCACGAACGAAGAGAAGGCAAGCATCCACGAGCAAATCTCAGCTAGATTTCATGAGCCCAACACTTGCAGTGTGCAAAATCAAAGGGAAAATGCCGAAAATTGTGTTTTCGATGATACCTAGAGAGTTTCAACAAATGAAAAATGAAAAATGAAAATGATCTGACATGTCATTTTAAATTTTAATACTTGATATTTATTTTTAAACAATTATCAAGTATTGCATAGTTAATGCTTGTTTCATAATAACCATCAAATATATCAAATATTTGTTTTGACAAGTAATACGAAACAAGTGTCGAATAAATATATTTTTAAAAAATTATAAAATTATTGTTTATTTGACATTTGCTTTATGTAAAGCGCGTATTTGGAGTTGTTATCAAACAAGCATCCAAATAATCATTAAGTATATGTTTAAATACTTGATGACTATTTTAAAATAATTATTAAGTATTCTTTATCTTTTTTATTTGTCATTTTTCTCATATAATTGTCAAGTATAGGATGTCTTATTTAACAAATTCTATCATAGTGAAAATATTTTTAATTTATCCATTTATGCATTGTTAGTTTAAATATTTTTCTTGATTTGCCTTGCCTAATTAATTATCCACTGATTTACGATATAAGGTAGTTTTTAAAAACTTACTATTAAAGAGACGTGCATAATGTAAATATATGCACACACGATATATATGTACGTATTTTAATTTAATTTAATTTAATTGATTTTTTTTTTCAATCTTCTTTTGTTTTGTTTTGTTTTTTGTTTTTTTGTTGTTTGCGGGTCAGGAATTTAGGGGTCTGTTGGAGGTAGGGTGGCAACCTTTAGCTATCTATTGACGTATAAAGGCTGACTTTTTTCAGGGAGCATAAAGGTGGCTTTTGATTTTTGGCTAAACATAATGGTGGACTTTAAAAACTTTATGTTGGCCAGAGTCCCAGAAGCCCAGAAGACAAAATATTAAGGTGACAACAAATAACACGTGTTTTTTTAATTTTTACACACACACACACACAAACACACACACAAATGATTAGTTTAAATATTCTTATTGGATTGGCTTGCCTAAAACCCCTCTTGTTCATAATATAACATATTTTCTATTAGCTTTACTTGATCTCATCGAACATAGGAGCACAATTTGCAATAATTTTTTTTTTTTACAATTATGCACTTTCTTCATTTGTTATTGTTTCATATAATAAATATGAGTGACTAGCAAAGATTAGTGGATTTGGTAAGGATTTGGCCAATGAACCATAAGATTATGAGATTAAATTCCACTACTAATATAAGGAACTAAGAGGTGATGATTTGTAAATACATTTATAAGTGTTCCATAGAGAAATACTCTTCCCTTAGTGAGCCCTTAAAATTCAACTTATTTAAAACTTTATGTTCGAAAAAAAGTATACTAAAGTGTGTCATAAGAGTCAACTTCTTGAATGTAAACATTCATTTCACTTAAGAGTAAAATAGAAAAGATATACAATTATTGAGAAGATTAAGACTTTAACTAACAATTTTTAAAATTTCAAATTAACTAACATTTCCCTATATCATGTATCCGAGAGAGCATATATTTGGTAGTGATTTTACTCTTAGCCAAGTGTAGCACAATACATTTTTTTTCTTAATATTAATTAGGCCGCAGTAAATCGTGCAAGGAAAAAAAAAATCAAGTCATATCAAAATACGTAAAATTTATTTTGCACCTAGAAAGAGTAGTTAGCATCAATTAATATGGACTTGGGGAAACGCAGACCAAATTTGGTGGATTTACCGAACAAGTTTGGCGAACATAACCAATGATGTAATTAAAGTTATTTAATTGACGAAACTCATTATAAAATAGTCATTTGCATGTTGAGCTCCATGAGATTTGCACCATCTAGATGATTTAATCTGCATAGTCTAAATTTAAAGTTTTTAATTTATATTCTAATTTTATATTTATTAAAATAAAATTATAAAATTTTAAATAAATCCATTTATTATCAACTAACAAACTAGATTTCATTTGGGTTGTCCAAATTTGATATTAAAAATTTTTATAATTAAATTGAGTACCCATATTTACTTTGGAATCTGGATAGTTCAGATTCAAAAACTAATAAACTTTTTTAAGAATATATTTTTCTAAAAGTATTGTTAGAGTATTATCTTATTTTTAATATTGTATTTATTAAAATAAAAATTAAAAAAATTAATATCAAATCTAGATTGTACAGAATATATCTAGATAATCAATTTATAAAATTATAAAAATATTAATATTGAATTGGACCATTCAGATTAAATTTGTACTATAACAATTGATGATAAAAAAATTTTTAAAATTTTTATTTTAATAAATATAAAATAAAAATATAAACAAAAATTTAAAAAATTTAAATCTAGATTATTTAAATTTTGGTCCAGATCTCATTAAGGTGATGAGCATCGATGAGTACCGAAGATGGACCCTAAATTCTTGACGCATTTCATGTAGATAAGAAAAATCTTGTTTTTAAGGCCTATTTGGGCATGATGTGTGAAGTATGACTGTAGTCTAACATAATATCGCACGGTCACACCAACGGTTTCCTAGCTAGCTGGTATTAAAGTTTTATTAGGTTACTAATTGAGGAGTTAGTTACGATGGATGACTATGACTACGTACTGGAATTCGACACGACTACATTTAAACCTGATCCACAAGTTCTGGATATCAAATAGTTTTGTTAAAAATAATATACATGAAATCTTAAAACAATATATCGAAGAAAATAGGTGTCTTTTCTGAGCCTTCATCATATATATATATATATATATATATATACACACACGTTGAGTTATAAAAATTTCATTTCCTTTTGATGAAATTGAAAACATCTAGGGAGTTACAAGAGAGTTAAAAATGACAACCGACTGGAGAAAATCAGAAGTAATAACAAGAACAATAACACACCATAATCTCAAAGAGTGACGCTGAAGCATTCGTAATCTTGTTCAAGTACAACGAAACGAAGACATCAAAACATAAAAACTAAGGACCTGTTTGTTTTCTGTTTTTGAAAACAAAAAAATTTAAAATTTTATTTGAATAAGTGTTTTTTATTTAGTTGTTTTCAAAATTATTTTTATTTTTTTTATTTTTTTAAAATAGAAACACTTCAAGTTGTTTTCATTTTATTTTTCTTATTTTCAAAATATACTGAATTTGATTATAGAAAATTATAGCTACCTTAACCAATTTATATTATTAATCACCACCATTAACTACATATAACTATCAGAATGTAATCTCTTGGTGGTTAAGGAAAGGATAGTTATACTATATCGATTAATAGAGACTAAGCCATAGGCAACAAGGTATAGATAGAGTAAAAGTAGAATTAATAATTATATTTTGCCTGGTATTACTATAAAGGATTATATATGAATATTAGTTTTGATATTTTTGAAATTAAAATTATATGTTTTAATTTTTTTTATAATTTATATGTGTGCGTGTCAGAAAATGTATCATGTTCTATCTTTTTAAAAATAAAAGAATCAATGTCTGATATGTGCATCAGTATTTGTGCATCATAGCTCTTAGATAGTCAAAGTATAGCACAATTTTTTTTTTAACACGAGTACAATCAACCATGGAAGAAAAAAGAAATCATGTCAAAACTATACGGATAATAAAAATTCTTGACATCTAGGTTGTCCACGCATTGTACAAAGCGTCATAAGAGTGGTTAGCAACAATAAACATGGACTCGGGAAAATGAATGCGGTATGCGGACCAAATTTGGTGGATTATTACCAAATAAGTTTGGTGAACATAACCAACAATGGACAGAGTTATAATTAATTAATTGATGGAAGTCATAGCACAATGAAGCTAGGCAATTCTTGACACATTTTATGTGGATACGAAGTGTCTTGTTATTAAAGCCTATGTTGGGTATGCTATATGGAGTATAATTATAATATAAGATTAATATAATATCAACCACACATTTCCTGTAGTATTAAAATTTGATTAGGCTATTAGTTATGATGAAAGACAATGACTACATAAAACACAAGCTCTAGAAAATTTGACACGACTGCATTTAAATTTCACCCACTAATACTGTAGTTATATATGTCAAAAATAATACATAGAATGTTAAAACAATATATCGAAGAAAGTAGGTGTCATTTTTGAGCTTTCATCATATATGTCTACTTACAAAAATGTCATTTCCTTTTCATGGAATCGATAACATGTAGGAAATGACAAGAGGAAAAACAAAAAAAGATAAAGATAATAACTCACTAAAGAGGATCAGAATTTAACAAGAACAAGAACACTCCATAATCTCTAAGACTTTAACCCTGGAGCTTCAGTAAACTTGTTAATATCTCTTTCTATGGTTTTTTTTTTTTTTTGGTTCTATTGCCAACAGAAAAGGAGATTCCATTAAAACAACCAAAAAATAGGTTCAAGTGCAACGAAACAGACAACAAAACATAAAAACTAAATAACAGCCAAAAAAAAAAAAAACACTATCCGAAATCTTGAAACTAATTCAGCACGATCAATTTCCAACAAGCGAACAATATGAATTGGGGTCAAACAACCCATAATTAGCGGGACACAATTCTTTTAATGAAGCCTTGACAATCCGTAATCCGTCACCAAATTAACTTCTCTCATCATGCTTATGGATTATATCTCTTTCACTTCTAACATTCTCTGCATTTATATCTAAGCTACGATCTCCATCCCTTTAACATTTAAAAAGAGAGCGTCTTTTTCTGCTTTCTTATTGCTTTCCTCCACCATCCTTCTTTTGATTTTATCTCAACTCTCTTCTCCCTACTTTGAGACATGCAGTCTCTCTTTGTACCCTTTTTCCATAATTATTCTCATAGCTTTCTAACCCTAACATGCCCCTCTGCTGATAATAATCACCTACCTTTCTCCCATCAATTTGATGTCAAATGTTGCTATGACTTCAAATTGCCCAAGTTCTGTGATAGAATTCGCTCATGTCACGTAGTCGATGGGAAGAGCTCCTCCAGTACCATTTTAACTAGCAAGCATCATCATATTCTTAAGCCTCTTACAATGACAAATCTCAATATGGATACAATCCATAATGACTCACCACAGCTACGTGTTGCTTATCAAGGTGTTCCTGGAGCCTACTCTAAAGCTGCAGCCAACAAGGCTTATCCTGATTGCAAGGCCATTCCATATGACCAATTTGAGGTGGCTTTCAAGGAAGTGGAGCAATGGAAAGTCGATCGAGCAATTATCCCTTTGGAAAACTCTCTCGGAGGTTCAATCCATCACAATTATGACCTTCTTTTCTACCATAATCTACACATCATTGGTGAGGTCTATCTTCCAGTCCATCATTGCCTTCTTGCTCTACCCGGAGTTCGAAAAGAGAACCTAACTCAAGTTATTTCACATCCACAAGCCCTTGCTCAATGTGAGCATACATTGAAGAACAAACTTGGCCTCAACGTGATATATGAGGCTATGGATAACACAGCTAATGCTGCAAAGTTTGTTGCCGCCAATAACCTCCGCAACACAGCAGCAATAGCTAGCTCACGAGCTGCGAAGCTATATGGATTACAAGTGATGGTACATGGGATTCAGGACAACCCAAAGAATGTGACCCGATTTGTAATTCTTGCTCGAGAACTGAAAATTCCTCATATAGACAAGCCATTCAAGACAAGCATTGTGATTGCACTTGACAAGGGAATGTCACTATTATTCAAGGTATTATCAGTATTTGCATTAATGAATATAAACTTGACAAAGATTGAGTTAAGGCCTTATCGAAATATTCCAATCAAGCTTAGAGCTGAAAGCAATAATGTGAGCAATACGAGTCATCACTTCAAGTACTTGTTGTACATTGATTTTGAAGCTTCCATAGCAGAGGTGAGAGCCCAAAATGCCTTAACAAAGGTGCAGGAGTTGACATCGTTCTTGAGGGTATTTGGTAGTTATCCCATGGATATGACTCCATTGAATCCAGCTTGTCATGCATGATAAAAGGAGTGGAGAAGAGCACATGCTTTTGGTAAGGTTGTTATAAAGACACATGGAAGTGAGTGGAGCAAGGTGGTTACACCATATTAAGAGAGTAAAGGCTTAATGGAAAGTGTGTGGAATTTATGATTGTGCTACTTCTCTCTATAATTTCTTTCCTTCCCTCTGTACTCTTTCTTGTGATCCCTTTTCCCGCTATACCCTTTTATGTTTGAACTTTTCCTCTGTAATTAAACTTTGAGCTAAATGATACCTTGAACATGAATATTTTATCTGCTCATATTATATCTTTACTTTATGTGCATTATGCTAATATTAATTTTTCCTTACCATACACATAATTATTTTTACTCCTTTCACTATAAATCATGCAATAAGTCTCTTTTCTTTTCTCTTGATAATTTCTTGACTCATAAAGCTTGCGGTTTGCCATAGTTTTTACAAGGGTAGTCATTAGCATAAATAGACATGTATGTGGCCTAAGCTAATACATGAAAAGCGGGATGCTACAAATGACACAATTGGACCAAGTTTATGTGACTAAACCGACCCCAACTCACCAAATAACTCAGCTAAGGTTCCCTTCCTCTTCCAGACTATGGTTTCCCCATTTTTGAATAATCAAGGTGTGTCGCATACTTAACTATCACCACATCTAGTGAGTGAGGACTTTCAAATAGATATAAGATTGAACACTGAAGCCACTTACGGTGTCAAAAATACCATATGGTTTTGTGCTACTCCACCTAGGGTGAAATTCCCACACTCATACACAATCATGCACTCATTTAGCACAATTTCACATCACGTTATCCATGATCTACACATTACAAGATTTATTTCATAAAAACAAGCATATGAATAATATAGTTTCAAAACCATTTTTTCCACTTCACATGAGTTCTAAAACTGACTCTCACACTTGTATGCTTTTACACATACACCATACACATGTGTAAATATGCATATGTGCATATATATAATTAAATAGTACTTATTTTGTAAAGCCTCATGAATGATATAACACATCAATATGTAAGGTAAATTATCCGATTACCTTAACTTTTTTGTTATCAAAAAGGGTTGCCTGTGGATTTAGTATAATTTTGAAGTCTCCTCAAAGCTCAGGTAACTCCAAGCAACTAGAATCAATTTACATAATTAAATACTAATCATTAATTATTAGCTCTAGCGTAAATACTATCTATCTTAATTAAGCTATCCATAGCCTCTAATTTTTTATCATTTGTTAAACCAACACCTTAACAATACAATATTCCATTAACCTCATTTAGCTTTCATGAAGCTAGACAACACTAATCTCGAACCCACATGACTCTAAATATGTAGCTTTGAGGCTAAGGTTCTTCCAAACCCTAGGACCACGCTTCAAAATGCTATAGAACCACCATCTTTAAGTATAGAACCCTAAATTAACTCCTAATAACCTAAACAAACTCCATGAGATTGGCCAAACAACCTATAGAAGCAAAACCATCATCCCCCTTCTAGAAAAACAACAATGAAATGTGAGTAGAGGGAGAAGAGAGGGAAAGGAAGGGTTTACCATAGTGTTCTCAAGATTAAATCTCCTCTAAGTGGTGATTCTAGCAAGCCCTTGCAAACCCAATCTTAGTTCTCTTGTGTTCTCGTCCCCTCCTACTTTCTCCTCTAGTTATCAAGTTTGTCATGCAAAAAACCATTTAAAAATATTGTTCTTCGATCATGGCATAGCATGCCTCCATCCCAGTGAATGACATAGATTTAGGGTCTAAAGTTTTAGGCCTTTAACTAGGGTTGATTGACCTAAATACCATCCTAAGTTGACTCTAAAGCTGTCTAATAGTCCAATAAACCCATTAGTGATCCAAAAACTTGATTAACTCAATTATTTCTATAATTTATTAACTTATCCTTATTTGTTTTAATTAATCCCTAATAAATTAGAAAAAGCTTGTTGTTTGACTTCGTTTCTTGAAATGACTTACTGGATTGCATCATAGATGGTGTGAACCCCTTAAGGAAGATCTCATGTACCCATAATTAATCCAAATATATACACCTTAAGAAAGGTAAATAAAAGTCTGGTTATTCACCTAAACCCTTGAGCACTAATGAATAAGGACATGAAGTGTAGGAAGATACTGCAAGTTGAACATAGATTGATAACTTTGTTAGTTTAATGAAGAACCCTAAAGAGAATCCATTATTTGTTGGGTAAGGAGGTGCAACAGAACATTAAAATTTTAAATCCATAGCTCGATGTGAACTAAACAAACTTGTTTAAGTCAAAATAGATAGAAGATTTACCTTTTAAGTCCGAGCTCCTCATATCTTATCTTCAAGTAATTGGATCTTAGGAGCTGACAATATAGATCTACTTCCTCTACCAGTATCTACATGAATAGCTCTCTAACTCGAGTAGCGTGCTAGTGCTCCCAATGTCCATCTGTATTTAAACACCATTCTTCTTTTCTTTAGGGTGTTTTATGGCTCTCAAAGTGTTTGGCAATCAGGACTTTTCTAACTATCTCTCATGAAGCACGTCCCCTTATTTATTATTTATATAGATTATGGTTTTAGGCTTCTTTTAATAAGCCAACAAAAAATAATTAAATTTATCTCATAAATTTAATCTATGATAACATATCTAATTCGAATTTATCTCATAAATTCAAATTATTGAACTGATATGATATTTTCTTATATTATCTTAGTTATTAAATTTAATCTATCATAAAAAATTAAATTTAAAACTAATACAATATAATATATAAATATATATATATACACTTAACAAATAAATATTAATATATATATATATATATATGTATATATAATTCATTCACCCTAGATAAAGCATTACATTCATTGAATCTAGACACATTCTAGATTCAATGAACTTTGACATTATAGCTTGAGTTAGATTGTTCTTGTGTGCGACTTTGTAGGCTCATATGAAGTTAGTAGTAGACTAATTACGTTACTAGCCTACAAGTCACAAGTGACCTCTAGTAAGACATTACAACTACCCAATCCATATAGGGATCGATGATTCAATGCAACTTATCATATTACCGTATCACATCCCTTTTGTCACGCAATATTTCAGTCAAGTGTGAGACATGAAATTGTCATTCTTCTTTCCATGACCATTACTTTCTTGATCTCTGAGTGGACTAACTATAACAATGAAAAAATCCTTTTCATTGTAGTATAGCCATATATTTTCTTAGTCTTACTCATCGAGGGGTACAGTAATATCTTTCAATTAAGGTGAGGGACAAATTCCATCTTGACTACTCAAATTCCTCTACATGAATATTACTAAACTCAATCATAGCGTTTATGATCACTCGATCAAAGATGACTTTTGACTACATCAAAGTTCAGTGGTTATCATGTAGGAATCATTGATGATCTCAAGTCAAAGAGCTTAGTAATATGGTTATATATGAGATAAACTTATGACTTGTATCATGCAGCTTTCTCATGGTAGGTTGGTCAAGCACCTTGAACCTTTTCAAGTGCCTCAACTTTAATTTATTTCTCTATGATTAATCAAAGTCATATTAGTCTTGTTTCATCTATAATCCCTCACAGATGACTGACCAAAGACATTTAGGATAATCAATATAGTTTATTCAAGGATACAGTTATCATAGTGAATATGTAATTAATATGATAATAAAAGAGAAATTCTATAAATAACAATGTTCATAGTACAATGATTGGCCTTAGGGCATAATTTCTAACATCTTCCCACTTACACTAGGTACAATCATTAATTTTTCTAATTCCCATTATTCTGACATAATGCTCATACTTTGCCTGTGCAAGAGCTTTGTAAGAGGACCAGTAACATCGTCTTCTCTTGCTACTTTGCATATTTTTATATCACCTTTGTCATTAATCTCTCTAATAAGGTGAAAATACTTGAGTATATGCTTGGTCTTTAGGTGTAACCTTGGCTCCTTGCTCTATGTAATTGCTTCGCTGTTGTCACATAATAAGTTTATTAAATCTAAGATGTTGGGCATCACTCCTAGTTCAGTAATGGACTTCCTAAACCAAACAACTTTCTTAGCTACATCTGATGTTGCTATAAACTCAACCTCTGGTATAGAATCAACTGTTGTACTCTGCTTGGAGCTCTTCTAGCTCACTGTCCCACCATATAAGATGAACATATATCCTGATTGTGATTTAAGGTCATCCTGGTCAATTTGAAAGCTTGCATCTATGTAACTTGTTACAACTAGCTCGTCATCCAATCTATCATATATCAAGAACAAATCCTTAGTCCTTCTCAAGTACTTTAAGACATTCTTGATAGTAGCCTAATGATCCTCTCCTGGATATGCTTGGTATTCGCTAGTCATACTCAAGGAAAATGAAACATCTAATCGAGTGCACAGCATGTTATATATAATAGATCCAATTACTAAGGTATATGGAACGTTACTCATGCAATCTTGTTCATTTTGTGTATAAGGACACTGGTCTTTTCTAAGATAAATGCCATGAGACATAAGGATGTATTCCCTTTTTTGAATATTACAAACAAAACCTACATAGTAGCTTATCTATGTATGTGCTTTGACTTAGGCCTATAAGCCTCTTGGATCTATCTCTATAGATCCTAATCCCTAGGATGTAAGTGGCTTCACCTAAGTCCTTTATAAAGAAAGATTTTCCTAACCAAGACTTGACATTCTGCAAGGTAGGAATGTCATTCCCAATGAGTAGAATGTCATTTACATATAGCATTAGAAATATAACTATGTTACCATTAACCTTTTTATAAACACAAGGTTCATCTATGTTTTGAATGAATCCAAACTCTTTGATTACTTCATCAAAATGTTGGTTCCAGCTCCAAGATGCTTGCTTGAATTCATAAATGGATCTTTGAAGTTTGCATACTTTACTAGAGTCCTTTGGATGCACAAAGCCTTCAAGTTGTGTCATGTACACTTCCTCAAGTAGATGTCCATTAA